CCTCCCCCCCCCCCCCAAAAAAAAAACCCTTTGTGTATGGGTGGGTGGTGCGGTGGAGGAGATGGGGTTGGTGGTGGGTGCTGAGATGGGACCATCGATGGTCAGCATTGAGGGAGAAACGGTCCGACCCCTGGGGGCTGAGCAGGGGGAAAGGGGAACCCCGTCAGCCCCAAATGGGGTGGCAGAAGGTGTGGGATGTGGCACTGAGGAGGAGGGAGGAGGAGGTCCCACCCTGTGCACCGCCATCCTGCGACGCTCTGTGTCCCCAAAGGCCACCAGCCCTCCTGGTATCCAGGGTACCCCGGAGTGCCACATCCCCCTGAATTGGGGGGGCATTGGAAGAGCCCAGAGCCGTCCTGCCAGCAGAGTGGGTGAGTGAGACTGCAAAGGGCTGTGAAAAGCCCTCTGGAGTTAACGAATCCTGCTAATGAGAGGGGAATTCCAGGAAGGGAAATAACCCAGGAGGCATCCGGGTGGGAGGGGTCCTGGCACAGGGTTGGCCCACGGCGGATCGGCCAAATTGGCTCTGAAAGGCATCTGAGCTTGGGGCTGGATCCGTCTCCTCCCCACTAAACATCCCAGTTCCCTTCATCCAGTTGGGGGTCAGGAACCCCACTGGGCAAATATCGCTCCAGGAGCTGCACCAAAGCCAGGTGGGGATTTGCAGCGAGGAGTGCAGGACCTGCAGGCACTGCTTGAAGGTAACAAGACCAAGAGCACGAGGTCATGGCCCATGTCCCCTCCTGGGGACCATAGGATGCTCCCATGAGATCCCAAAGGAGAAGTTGTGCTTGGAGACTGCTCTCCATCACCAGCACAGCCCCAGTGTCCCCTATGCTCTTTCCCACAGTGAGAAAGCAGCCTGACCCCACAACTCAAGGCACGGGTGAAGCCCTCCAATGTGTTCCAAACTTCTTCTGAGCACTGAGTCACCCCACAGCCGTGCCATGGGGCTGAAGAGTCCAGTAGAGGATGGAGATGAGCTGCAGTGCCTTCTGGATGTCCCCAAGAATGTCACCCAAGGGATGGGACGTGGGGATGGAGGACGTCATGGACTGAGCAGCCAGCACGTGAGACGGGAGGTGGGAATGGAGATGGGAATGGAGATGGGAATGGAGATGGGAAAGTGGGGTGGGTTGGTTGGGGGCTTGGGGTCTGTCTGCAGGACAGGTTTTGGGGGGGGGTGCAGCAGTGGGGTGGTCTCCAAAGTGGAGAAAGGACTGCAGACATTGGCCGTGGGGTCAGTGGGCATCGTAGGAGCACCACACATAGGAGTCCATGGGGGTGAGCGCTTTTTGCTGCTGAGCAAAGGGTAGAACAAGGGGCAGAAAAGGGGACACAGGAAATTCCATACTGACACAAGGAAAACTTTGCTGTCAGAGTGACGGAGCATTGGAACGTGCTGTCCAGAGAGGTGGTGGATTCTCCTTCTCTGGAGATGCCCTGCGTGGATGCCCGCCTGTGAGACCTGACGTAGGGAACCTGGGTTTGGACTCAGTGACCTCCAGAGGTCCCTTCCAACCCCTACAGCTCTGTGGTTCTGTGTGACAGCGCTGGGATGTGGGTTTGCTACAAAAGCACAAGGAATCCATGGGACTCAGCCACCCAACACTGGAATTGGGCCTTTGGTTGGGAAGACCCCACTCATCTGAGGGAAATGGCAGCAGGAAAGCAGCCCGGGTCAGAGCGCAGCCTCTGCGGGCAAGCAGAAGGAGGGATGGGACAGGCAGCAATTAGCAGTTTGCTTTATTGGAAGCTTTGTTTGGAGCTGTGTTCACACAGGAAGAGCTGCAGGGTGAGCTGGTGGCATTGGTGGCAGCTTGGAACGGAGCAGAGCCCATGGGCAGAGCACCGTGTCCCCACGTCCCCACGTCCCCAGCAGGGGAGGGCAGCGCTCACCACGCCGGCCTCTCGCTATTCTGTTAGGAGAGAGGAGCAGAGAGGTGAGATATGTCCCCAACCCAGACAGGGGGGGCTGTGGGAGCCCCTCAGCACCTCAGCCCCCAAACCCTCCCACCCTGATCCCCTCTCACTCGCTTTTCCCCCTATCAGCAGTCTGACCGCCCCGGCCAGGGTGTCTCCCAGGGAGCGCAGGAGGCTTTCCACCACGTCTGCCAAATCCACCAGCGCTCCTTCGGCAGCTCTGCCGTTCACCTTCACATCTGTGGGGAGAAATGGGGGGGTCTGGGAGCTGCCCCCCTCCGTGAGCTGTGCCTGCGCGGATCCCCCTGCCCCATCCCCAGAGCCGCTTCGTGCTGCAGGGAGCTCAGATCCCACACTTCGGAGGGCAGGGAGGGATGAGGGAGCGTCTCTCACACACTTACAGAGCACAGGAGAAGCCCCAGAAGTGTTCTCTGTACGACTGGGATGCTCAGAGAGTTCATAGTGAAATCTCAGCCCCCCTGCCCCACTGATCCCCACAAGGACCCCCACTTACCTTGCCCCACAGTCGGCGTCTCGTTGACGGGCACTGCGAATGGAAGAGACACAGTGTGACCAACCCCAGGCCGGGGGGTTTAGGCAGGGGGACAGACATCCCCTAAGGGACATACAGCCCCATTGGGGTCCTGCCCTACTCACAGCCCGCAGCCAGGCAGCAGGCCAGCCCAGCCAGCAGCAGCACTGCGTAGAGCTTCATCGTCCCCACGGAGCTCAGGTGGTGACGACCGCAGCCCCACGATGAGCCCAGGTTCCGTTCTGCCCCTTATGAAGGCACCAATCGGAGGGGTTGGGGTGGTGGGAAGGTGCTGAGCCCGGGCTCTGGGCCAGCGTGGGATTAGCAGGGATCAGCCCTGCAGCTCCTGGGGGAGCACGGAGCGGATGGACCCGACCCAAAACCTCCCGGTCCCCCAGGGCTGCACGTGTGGGAGCAATTCCACAGTGTGCCAGAGACACAAAACATTTGGGTGGCTGCTACCTGCCCCATACACCCCCCCAGTACACCCCATACTCCCCCATGATGCCCCCTGCTATGGGGCAGAGCATCTCTCCGTCCCATTTTGGGGATATGGATGGAGCTCAGAGCATCTTCCCCCATTAAAATGCCTGGGGAACGCTGATGCACCGAGGGAAGGGCACGAGCGCAGGGGGGAGGAGGTGGATGAATAATTTCCCCACACTGCTTGGCATTACAAACCCTGTCCAGGAGTGAGTGTGCACTGGGGAGGAAGGGATTTGCTTCGTGTTTCAGACAGCTGCAGGGCAGCATCCCACCCGCAGCGATCAGCTCCATCCTCACGTCGTGCAGGGATGGAGGCAGCGGAGCGTGGCCCGTCAGGATCCACCTGAGTGCTCTCAGATCTCCAGCAGGACTGGAGAAAAACGAGGCTGAAACTGCAGGAGAAAGCAGGGAGACTTCTGGAGGAGTTGGGGGCTGGGGAGGGGATGGGAAAATGTCTGGGCTGTAGGGTGGGTGGAGAGCAAAGGATCCGAGTGATGGCTGCGTGTTCCCAAATGCGCACCCGTGCTGCGCCTCTGCTCCGTGCAGTCCTGCTTCGCTTCTTCTCTGTGCTGCAAAACCCTTTTGGTGCTGCACAGGGGGGGGGTCTCCGAAATGTCTCAGCCCCTTTGCAATGGAGTTCAGTGAAGGGTTTGGATAAGAGACCCCCGGGACCCCCCCCACCCCCCCACCACCACCACTTCAGTGTTGTTCCTCCATTCCAAGGGGAGCTTCTTGATTTTAAGACACCTCTTTACAGGATGCTCCATCCCTCTGAATTCATTCAGCACCGGTTCCAGAACTCCCAGTTTGGGTCCAGAACCCCCAGTTTGGGTCCTGGCAACATGGAGGGCTGCAATGTACGCAGGGAATGTAATGATGTTCAGCTCCTGGGCTCTGCAGCGTGGAGGTGTCACTGTGTGTCCCCTGCTGGTCCCCAACAACAGCCGCTGGCTCCCAGTGCTGTGTGCTGCTTTCTAGCACGGCTCCTATGAACACTGGTTGGGATGAGGTGCCCATGTGTGTCCCCAGAGGTGGGCAGCCCAACCCCATGGCTTTGCACAGCCCCATCCAGGACAAATCCTGGGGCTGGTGGAGATGTAATCCCATCTTCAGCCCAGGACCAGGCAGAGCAAGGGGAGTGGGGTGATGACCAAGGGGGGGGGGGGGGATCCCAACCTCTCTGTGCACCCCCCAGGTTGGGGTTCCCATACAGATCCCATACAGATCCCATAAAGATCCCACAGGGTGAGGCTGCGGTGAGAGCCAGACCCCGGTGCCGGAGGGGCTGGTGGTTAATCCAGGATAATCCCATCCTTGGCTGTGCTCCACTGGGAAGTCCTTGGGTTGTTTTCACCCGTGAGGATTTTCCCTCCCCATTAATTCCAGCGCTGATGCCTGGGGGGCTGGAGCCTTCCTTCCCATCCAAAGGCCATTGGCACCACTTCTCTTCCTGCTGAAGGGGTGTAAGTAGGGCTGGTGGCCCACGGGGAGCGGGGGGGGGACAACGGGTGGGACCCTCTGGGGATGGGGAGGTGGCCCTGGGTGGGATGGAGCAGAGAGAAGGGGGGTCAGCTTCCATCAACCCAGGGAATAAAAACACTGGAAAATCTGGGGATGGGAAGAGATGGGGATGGGAAGAGTTGGGGGTGGGAAGTGCCAAGGTCACCCTGCCCCCCATTGGGGACTGTGCCCCCAGTGTTTGGTTGCCCCAGTTGGGAGCAGAGCGGGAGGGGTTAAGGCTGCGGTCCTGCAGAGCATCACCACGGTTTCGTTCGGATGCCAGAGCTGCAAGGAGAGGAAGAACAGCAGAGCCATAAAGATAAGGTGGCAGGAAGATGTAGAACAGGCCCGGAGCCATAAAGCACCCAGATAAGGAAACAGGAGAGAGAGGCTTCGGAGGGGTGAGAAGAGATGGAGAGCAAAATAAACCCTGAACAGCGAGTGCTGCATGACTCATGCCCAAAGGCAGCACCTCCTCCGACTTTGCGCACCCTGAGAGCCACACGCAGCCCTCGCCCACATCCTTGGGACCCCCCAGCAGTGCAGGGACACGGCCTGATCCCATTGGGACCTTTATTTCCAGTGTGCTGTCAGCTATTCCCCAGCAAAACCCCCATCCTAGTGTTCCAAGCGCCGGGGGAGCAGCCAACTCCAAAGTGCAAGTGAAGCCCCGAGGAAAAGGGGCAGAGGAGGGAGAAGGAGGGGAGGGGGAGGGTGCAGGTGCCAGTCCTGAGTTTTGGGTGCATCCAACATACTTGTGCATGCATTTGCACACACACACACACACACACAAGTGTCCACACGGTGCTCAGCTCTGGGCTGAGGATGGGTTCCGTCGCCTGAAGCGCAGCGGTGCAAACTTTCCTGCACTCGTTGTTGCACTCCGGTGCCGGAGCAGCGGTTGGGTGGGAGAAGGGGGGAGGTGGTGCAGGCAGGAGACCCCCGATGGGCTCAGTCTGTCTGCTCAGGAAGGGGCTCCTCCACGAAGCCGCTGCTGTCCGAATGCCCACCGACTCCGTACAGCATCAAACCTGGAGCGTGGGGATGGGATGCGCTGCACCTCTGCACCCCCCACAGACCCCTCTCAACCTGTGCGCACGGGTGGGAAGAGGCACGGCTTACTTCTGCGGAACCTCACGGAGCAGCTGGTGTCTTCATCATCATCATCATCATCTTCATCATCGTCATCATCACCATCGTCGTCGCTGTCGCTCACCACCTGCACAAACACAGCAGGGCGCAGGTTGTGCCAAAGAGGGGCTGGAGCACGTGTGCATGGAACATGTGTGCATGGAGCACGTGTGCATGGAACGTGTGCATGGAGCATGTGTGCATGGA